CAAGGCCAAGTGCAAGGTCCTACATCTGGGTCAGGGCAATCCCAAGCACAAATACAGGCTCAGTGGGGAATGGCTGGAGAGCAGCCCTGAGGAGAAGGACCTGGGGGTGCTGATTAACAAGAAGCTCAACATGAGCCAGTAATGTGCAATCGCAGCCCAGAAGGCCAACCGGATCCTGGGCGGCATCGAAAGAAGTGTGGCCAGCAGGTCAAAGGAGGTGATTCTGCCCCTCTACTCCACTCTTGTGAGACCCCACCTGGAGTACTGCATCCAGCTCTGGAGTCCCCAGCATAAGAAAGGACATGGACCTGCTGGAGCGTGTCCAGAGGAGAGCCATGAGGATGATCTGATGGCTGGAGCACCTCTCCTATGAGGAGAGGCTGAAAGAGTTGGGGCTGTTCAGCCTGGAGAAGAGACGGCTCCGGGGAGATCTTATTGCAGCCTTCCAGTACCTAAAGGGGGCCTACAGGAGAGCTGGGGAAGGACTTTTTACTAGGACATGTAGTGATTGGACAAGGGGGAATGGCTTTAAACTGGAAGAGGGCAGGTTTAGATTAAACATTAGGAAGAAGTTTTTCACTTTGAGGGTGGTAAGTCACCGGAACAGGTTGCCTAGAGAGGTTGTTGAGGCCCCATCCCTGGAGGTGTTCAAGGCCAGGGTGGACTTGGGCAACCTGGTCTAGTGGGAGGTGTCCCTGCCTATGGCAGGGGGTTTGGAACTCAATGATCTTCAAGGTCCTTTCCAACCTAAACTATTCTATGATTCTATGATTCTGCTTTTCTAGTTCTTTGACATCTATTGTCCTATGCATTGTTCATGAACCATTCGTAGACCAATTCTTGGTTTGTCTTTGATGTTTCAATACTCTAATGCCTTGTCATTTCCACACACTCACTGGAGTGAACAAGTTGTTCTACCTCGTTTATCCAGCTCTCCCTTCCTGAACTGCCTTCAAACACAGTCTATTAAAATTAATTTCTTAAATTGACACTTGATTTAGCATCATATTTCTCTCTTATTTATGATATTAAATTGTCTATCAACTGACCTGATTTAAAGCACCAGAAAGATTCTTGCAGCTGCTTGGAATGTCCCCACATTAGGCCAATCAGGAGGTTTTAATCTTTCTTGAAAATAGTTCTAATTTTTTTTTTTTTTCAAGAAAGAAAGCAAACATATCACAAAGAATGCCTTGTCTTACGCTAATTTGAAACAAAAGGTTAATTCTCCGCAAATTACTTTTGTAATGCCATTTTAAAATATGTTAATCTAAATGTGATGAAAAAGTAATTTTTATGGCTCCTTCACTATTTGGTTGTAACATTTAATGTTAACGTTCTGCAAGCACAGGCCTTGACACTGGGCATGTTTGCAGACATGATGCAATGTTTAGCATGAGGACTCTATCTGGGCTAACAAGCCTGTTTATCATCAGGGTTAACGAGCCCAGGCAGAATATTGAACTAGGCTAGACTGCTAGACAGCTCGAGCTTTTGGGTGCAGGCTGTTTTGGGTATGTCTGCATGATTACATTGTGCCATGGGGAGATACAAACTGCTTCTCTTCATTGAAATTGCAACTATCACTTCAGCAATCAGATGTGTTAATCACATTATAGAGTTCATATATAAATGAACTCTCTAATTCCCTCACCTCTGTTCTATCTTTTCAGGAAGGCAATTCAATAGTTTCTGAGGTAATGACTCAGTATTGCTCAATATTACTCAACAAAATGCATTCAGTCCAGGTAGAAGGACAATAAGCGTCTCTTGAAATATATATATTTAGAAAAAAAATAAAATTAAAATGCAAAGTTGACTTTGAAATTATCGTGTTTGCTATGCAGAAATCATAAAATAAATTACTTTTTACTCATTTTTCTTTAAGTCTCATATTTTCTCTTCAAGCATCCTCTGCGGTCACTGAACAGAAAATTACTTACCCCAGAAATTGGAATTCATGGTATTTCATTGCAGTTGCAGAACTTATATGAGTTTCATGATAAAAAACAATGCAGAACATAGACAAAGGAAAATAACCACTAAGTCCCAAGATGCACCCCTCTTCTTTGAGATGCATTTAAAATGTATATAATACTTTATCCATATTAATTAATAAGTTTTATGGAATTTTTTTTGCACATATCCAGTCTGTTCAAATGTGGTTTTTTTTATTTTTCACTTTATATTTTTCCCCAAAGTAGACATTCACACTGAGTAAATGACTCTGAGTATTTGCACACATCAGTAGTCCTTAATCCAGCAAATGTTCAAGGAAGGTAGAACCGTAACAGCAAAAAGAGTTTGTGAGACAGGAACTGGAATATGTTTTATTGCATTCTTACACGCTCTTTTGAAGGTAGAGGCAACTTCACCCTGTTTGTGCTTTCAAACATTTGGAAATTGGGTAGTGATGTAAACATGCGACACAAACAACTAATGTGGCTCTATGACTTCTATTTTCCTAGAAAGAGGAAGTTGAGCTATAAAACAATGGATTGATTGGGATGAAGGGGCAAATTCTGATTTCAAACAACAACAGGTCCTTTGTTGTGGATGATGCCCTCTCTATTCTTTTCTACACTTTGATTTTCTATTCTATGCTTTGATTTTCTTCTGCTGCATTACTGAATGAATGAACAAATGAACAATAACTTAGACATCTCTTTCAGGGCATTGTGTAGAGTTGCCAATGCTTTCTGAAATGTGTAATTCACAAGAGCTTTGGTGTTCGGAGATTAATGTTGAAGCTGGGCAAACAGTCATAATTTTCAAAAAAATGTTTGATATTTAAATAGATTTTTAAGCATTCAGAGAGCTAAAGTTTAATTTATTTTCCACAGCTGTAATTCGATTTTTTTTAAAAGTCACATGTTGTAAAGTCACACAGAGGTGAATCTGCCAGTAATGGCCCTTAGCATAATGTAGCTTTTTCCTTCTATTTTTTCTCCAAAGCATCTGAAGACCTTTTGATCTTTCTTCCAATCCAGTGTATTGTCCTTCCACTCACTGACCTAGTTGAAGTATCACTTCCACAAGCATGAAAACAGACAACACTAAGTATTTTCCTCAGATTGCTTTTCAGTGCTGATACTACCCCTCTTCCCAATCATTGCGGTAGATGTTTACTAGATTCTTTTGAAATGATTAATAACTGTACAAAGCCTTGGTTTTAATTCACACCCATACAGGCAGAATGGGAAAAAAATCTTTTAAGGCTAAATTTTCTCCTCCATGTATGTTTATACTGTGATCAAAACAATCATTTTGGCTAAAATCCAAAACCTTAATAGATGAATTAACATTAACAGTTACAGGAATTTCAGCAAAACATAGCCACTTACCTGTTCAAAAGTGTTCTTTTGAAATTCTTCAAATCCAAAAATGTCCAGTACTCCAATTTCAAATACCTGGTCACTGGGAAAAAAAAAATATTACAGATAATAAGAATTCAAGCAAGTTAATAATATATTTGTTGTTTCCGACAAAAGTATTTCTGTTCTAGGACAAAAGCAGGCTGTATTTCAAAAACACAGTATGAAATACACAAGAAGACCATGTATACAACAGAATCAAAATTCTACCCACCAACCTTTTACAATGAACATAAATAAAAAACTAGGGTTCAAGATTATTTTAGCAGCCACTTCGAAAACAAAATTTGCAAAAGAAGGAAAAAATCTTTAAAGTCCAGTTTCTAAACGTGTAGGTTTCACTCAGATGAGTGTAGGTATTCACTCAGATGAGGGACAGCCATTTAGGGGAAGTTTCAAAATTGCTTGGTTGCACGCAGTTACCCCTTCCAGTTTATATTTCTTCAACAGCAAGAACTGCTCCTACTAAATGTACTTCAAGGGAAACCTGTTAAGCCAAAGTTCTCTCTGTGCCAGCATCAAGTAGAGGCTGTGAGCTCAGATTGCCCAAGAGGTTACATCTCTCAGGGGAAAGAACAGTCAAGATTCCGGCATAAAGACGACAGATGTTTCTTTTCTGTATATATGAAAGGATACTTGTTAGCAGTGCTTCTAATTTGTCGTGTGCCACTGCTCGCAGTCAGTGAAGGGCTTTTATTTCGGCCCAGTGGTAGGATTAGGGCAGGGTGGTCACCCAGGACTTGGACAGGAGAAATGGGAAAGGGATAGAGGTGTTATTTACTCAGGGATAAGTCATTGTCCACCTGTTCTGGAGAAGAAACTAAGTTCACTGTGGGGTGCAAAATTAATGTTTTGGGGTATCCTGCTGCCTGCTTTGGTAGGATTTGAGAACTTCATATGAAAGGACAGGGGTCACTAAGGCTGGGCTTTTTCTTTATTTTCTTCAATGTATCATTAGGCAGAGAACATAAAAAGAAGGTTAGAGTAAAAAATTTGTTGCAGTTTGCCTATGTGAGTGCAGTGGGACTTTCTCGAGAGTGAAATGATCTGCCAGCAGGATGAAAGACTTTGCACTGTAGCCAAAGGCTCTCTGAAACACAAAAAAATTAGCAAAGGAAAAATTATTCAGCTTCCTGAGAAAGGGGGTGGACACTTTCTAAAGCAGATGAGTTTTCCTTTCTCTTTGCCAACATAATTTGTAAATCTATGGGGTTATATACATACAAATGATATTGAAGCCTGCTGTTTCTGAAATCTACTTTTCCTTCCAGGTTTTTCCTCCATGCCTAAATCCATGCCTTCGTTTTCCTATGCCTAAATCTATGTGTATATCAGGATATAGATGTAAAGGAGAAAAAGGTGATCCACAGTTGAAGCACTTTAGTATAGTTCTATTATAGTCATTGTAAACACTACCATTTAATTAGACAATGATTCATCCCTGAAAATAAATTCCCATATAACAAACAAAAAAAGTAAAATAATCAAAAAATTGAGTACTACAAAAAAAGCTTGGGAAAACAATCCTCATGACAAGCAGAGCTTTCTTCAGAAATCATATCCAAGAAGTGTGTATTCATTTTTAAGGCATACTACTTTAATGTTCTACGGATTGTCCCAAGACTGGCTATGTGTGTAAATCTCAGACATAGAGAGTTGCATAATAAATCTAGTCTAGAATGACTTTGTTGGGCAGGAGAGGTTATTGTGAGGTCGATTAACCTCCAAGGGAATTTCTACAAGCATAAAGATGTATTACCACCTACATTTCTAGCAATGAGTGCAAATTACATTGTGTTTTGTAATGTAAACCTCATTCTGAAGTGTTCCGGATTAGAGATGGGTGTATATTCCTTGTCACAATGTGTTTTCAAGAAAACCAGCCCATTTCTATAAAGAAGTAGTAGACATTTTGAAAACAAACTACCTCAGTCTAATATTAAAAAGCAGAATTTTTATGACATTTAAACAAGTTTTGGAAAAAAAGCAGTTTAGAATTTCAGAATACTTCATAAGTTTTCATTCTTATTTTATTATTTTGTCGTTTATCTATAGCCTTCCTTATAGGAAAGAAAAACATGAACTGCTATGTAATATTGCAAAACAGCTGAAATATTGCATTATATTTCACAATTATTAAAAACTACTCAACATGGATGGAACAGCTTGTCCGTTCTTTGTCCAACTCAATGAATAGATGTGAGGCTGGATTACTACCATCCCAGTTGAGTGCCATGACTGTTATTTTGTCAAATTAGTCTCTTTTGGTTTTTCTAAAGGAATATATAAGCATTTGCATAAGGAAAAGACCTAAATGAACTAACTTAATGAATTATTACAAATCGGGCAAAACAGGAACCTGGCCCTATTTTCTAAAACCCCAGGTAAAAGCTTAGTAGCCAGCCTATTGCCTACCTCAGATACCATTCCTTATGAAAACTGTGATATTTCCAAGAAATATCTTGATTTACTGGAGATGTTATTTGTTGACAGGAAAATATGTTTTTATGACCTCCACCTGATCATCTTGGCCTTGTATTTATTAGAAGATGCGCACACTACATGAAAAGAGCTGGAGGTTTTACATAATTAATATCTTGCCTATAGGGCAAGTAAGTATAACAGAACAAGGCTCTGTACTCTCTACGATAGTGACATTTTATTACTACATTGTGGCATTTATTTGCAAAATAATGATGCAATTCTCTGAATAGTAATTCTCTGTATAGTAATTCTCTGATACTAATTGTCTGTATTCAATTATTGCGCAGATTTTGAAAATTAAATAGCAACAGACAGCACAACATCAAAATTAAAAGCGTTGTTTCATATGTGGGTACACATTGCTTTTTTTTTTTTTTCTTTCTTCTTGTCTGCCCCTGTTTTAGACCACTTTTCTTTTCAGAGGAAGGGTCCATATATGTTTTTCTTGGCTAGCTGTCAATCATATTAATTCCAGCAAAATTACTTTCCTTAAATTAATCATAGCAGAGATTCCCAAGGCAAAATAAAGTATGAATGAACCCATGTTTACAAATGAAAGGGCACATCACCAGTGTCTGAAAGAACAAATATAAGAAAAGAGCACTTTTTATTCTGAAAAATTGCCTTATTTTACTTTATTCTTCTGTGGTTACTAAACATCACTGACACTTTTCCTCGTTATGGTTCAGATATTCAGTATTTACTATCTATAAGTAAAATGCCTATAGTTTTAGCATGGACTGAGACTTTTATTTCAAGTTTGACAATATTTCTTAGCATAGAAATTAGAACAACAGCAATTTGCCAATATTTGAAGAATGTTTTTATCTCTTAGACCAGTACATAGTTGTGAATAGTTAAAAACAGGCATAGAAGTTAACTAGAACTCATTTGATTTTTGTGATATACAAAACAGCATTTTGACTGATAATATTTTACAATGTCTCCAGTTTTGCCTTTTTTCTCAGAATTACATCTCTGTAAAGATGTCCTGATAGACTAGAAATACCTTTTGACGCTGTACACTTAAAAAACTCATTATAAAGAAACTACATAAAAATTCTTGGCAACTCCTAAAAACAATACACATACACCAGACATCCTGTCTGATGATCTACTGTCTTGGCAGACATCTTGCCATTCATCAAGAGATGCTCTTCACCCGTTTGCCATTCCTGGCAAGGTGAACAGAGTTCCCCTTACAGTACTTCTGACCCAATGCTTCAGACAAACCTACATGATGTTATTTGATCACTTTTTTTTTTCATCCCAGATGGTTTTCAGCTCTGAAATCCACAGGGTTCATTCCTATTGTCATTTTTTGTAATCTGCCTACATAAAGCAGTGGGGTGAATCTGTTGAGGCAGGATGATCTAACGTGCATTTTCATCTGCCCCACATAAAACGTTTCTTGCTCTTCCTCCATTTTCTGCTGGTAACCAGGAAGGAAGCCAGCTGGTTTAGGTCTGGATAAACCAGAAGTGATACTGATTAATGAGGAAACCTTTCTAGGAATAGTTAGTATACAGTATACAACCCAGCCTTCAAAGGAGAACCCTCAGAATCTTACTTAAGACTCCCTTGGTTCTCTCAGGGGAACAGATTACATCCAATGTCATAAATACTGTTCTTGAAGGGAACAGGCTGAGTACTCCCAGTGGATATGTTCTTCATCTCAAACAATTACTAAAAGAAACTAGTTTCTGAAACTTCTGAGAGAGATTTTTCTGAGATTTTTTTTAAGATTCTGATTTTTGCTAAGACTTGGTGTCATTGCCACAGCTCTCAGTCATCTTGCTCAACAACTGTCATTTTTCTTTTAATGTTACCTTACCCAGGTGTGAGCGGTACAGATAGAGACAGTGGCCGGACACCGGGAAAAGAAACAATGGCTCCATATCTGACAAACATTTCTTTGAGTGACTTGACAGGTATGGCAGGAAGGGAGAAATATTTTTGCTAATAGACTCAAGATCTCTAGCTCTCTCATCAGTAGCACATACTCTTCCCCAGCTCTTTAAAGCAAAATTTGTTCTATGCTTTAAAAGATGGCATTGTCTTGTTTAATGAAACACTGGAAATGATCCAGACTGAAGCAGACCTCAAAATATGATATTATGCACCATATTGTATTACATGTTTTGTATTGTTTGTCTGTTTTAAAGATTTCCCTTCCTTCACAGAGACAATTCTCATTATGCTGTGGGTTCATGTTCTGAACAGGAACTCTCTTTCTGTCCTTCCTGCATTCCCAACACTCTTCTAGTGGGTTGAATAATAGATAAATAAACATTTTAGTTTATCCTCTGATTTTTTTTTCCTAAGTTGGGAAGATTTCTGTTTCAGAACATCGCATTCTATAAATCTGATAAAATGTAGAAAGAAATTTGTAAATAATACTCCTGAGATCTTTCCTTTGCCTGGATAAATGTTGCCACTGCTACTCTCTGGCAATATTTGAATTTCACTAGGAATAAGACTACACATTCAGAATACACACAATTTCAGAAAATTCCTATTTAGATATATTCTGTATGCTCTATTTGAAACAGAAATCTCCTACGGCAGACCTGGTGGTACAAACAGAGGGTACAAATGAATGTTGGTACAACTGAATGTTGGCTTTCTTTGCTTCTCTGTAATACAGCAGGCATATTGGTATTAACCACATCTTCAGGCCATGTAAGAGAGAAACACTTTGCTAACTAGCTAATAAAACATCATGCTTTCTACTCACTAGCACGCAGCAAAGGCAATATCGATATTTTCTCAAGTATATATACCTAATTAGCCTGGTTTTCATAAGAAAAGAAAAACAATCTTTCACAAGAAATCACAAACACTCTTAAATGCCCATAACTGTAAAGTCCTGTTGCAGAATGAGTCAGGAGTTCTTAAAACATCATCTTAAGACACTTTATTACTAACATTTGGATCACTCAATCCAATCTTGTGAACGTGCAATCAAGTATGTTGAAATGCCACATTTAAGCAACCATGAATGCTCTTATCCCTTTTATCTACAAAACTGCAAATCAGCATACTTATTTGGATGGAAGTAAACCAGTAGTAAACTTTGAAGAGTTAAGAGTCTTGGGAAGAAGTTTACTGAGACAATTCTTACAATAATAAAATCAGTAGGATGGGAAATCACTATATAAATGAGTGAAAATAAATATTATTAATTTTTTAAAAATAATTATAAGCATCTATGAGAAAAATTAGTAGCTTTCCTCTAATCCCATTCTAGAGGCCAGTTACAGAAAAAGAGTTTCTCCCCAGTGAATTTCTTCAAAACAATATCAAGATGAATGAAGTAATAAACATCAAAGGTACCTTGCAACCAGTCCAAACTAACATCCATGGTTATAATTTAGTTCTAACTAGACAAAATCATAAGTAACTTTTTATGAAGGAGAATAACATTTCTGAAGTTATCTCACTTAACACAGTCATTAAAACTCTTCCATTATATTATTGGATAGTACTATAAAGTAATGAATTTGTTGGATTCTGGCCACATTTTTTTTCTCTATGCTTAATACCTCTAAAGCTTGGTCTTTGCAGTTTTACATAGAATCGTCTCCCTTTCCCTTAGATCTAACAGCAATCCTCAATTTTATCTTGCCTGAAACCCACCACAAGCTATGGTAAATAATGCTAAATATAAATCAATAGTAATGAACAAAATTGAGTATCTTCAGCATAACAGTTAAACCCAGGTAACTAGTTTCCTCAAAAATGCCAAGATCAAATGATTCTCTGAGAGTTAGTAAGCCAATAAATCTAATTTTATTGCTTCCTAAATTCTCACCGAAGTGGGATGGAAGTAAAGTTAAGCTACCTCACATCAAAACAAGAGAACTGAGTTAGAAACCTTATTCCAGATTTCTGATGAAGGCTTCATCCCATTTGATAAGTAGTAACTGTGTAAGTTTCTGGCTGGGTAATGAAGTGTGGTCTGGAATGCATCAGCCTTATTTAGCCACATTAGGTAATGTCTTTGGTCAATCTTTAATCAGACATTTATTAAAACTGCACCAAACGGGAGGTTTAATGCTGCTAATTGATAGACTTGCTCAGATATATATGAAGTAAATATGAACCACAAATCACAGATTCATGCAGTGACTTGCATTAATCCAATTTACATCTTAAACTGTGCTATACCTTGATTTACTACTACAGGTTATACAATATGATTAGGCTGGACCAAAAAAAATAGGTGGGGCTGAGAGAGGTATTTTCTTATCTTAAGCTGGCTAACACAAGTGAGGTTGAAATATCAATGAAGGATGGTCAACTTCATTTTCACTTAAAATAAGCTATTTAGCTTCAAATTTGGAAAGGGACCTGAGGCTGAATTTGGCCTGCTAAAATTTAATACATCTTGTCAGTGTTGTTAGTATATCCTGAGCTGGTTATCTTCCTTTAGCCAGCCTTAATGAAGAACTCCCCCTTTTCAAGCATGGGTTTAATATATAACTATTGCAAATTCCTCATTCCTGACAACATCAAACAGCTGTCCTTCTTTAGCTAAGACTTACAACATCACGTATTCTTCAAGTTACCACACAGGTAGAAATAGTTTCACTGAGAAGTATTCTCTTTCCACAAGGTAGAAGTCACCTTAGGCTCATATGATTGCACTAAAAGGAGAGTCCAAGGTAAACAATATATAAACAGTTTTGACTTTCATTATTTGAAGATCCTATGATATCTAGAAATTATAGGTTTACATTACTGAACAACAGAGAAATACCACACCCTATTCTGAAAGACTGGGAGATATTAAATTTCAAAATTGCAAAATTACACATTGAAAAACTATTTCAAATAATTTTAATAGATTAATATACTGATTCTAGATTTCTAGATCACTAAAAATGAGCTCACTGTAATTAGGAACACTTGAGCTGGATTGTTGTCTATCACAGACATGCACTGAGCTAAGTCCATGTTCCATAAGTCCCAGGAATGAATGGGGAAGAATTGAATGTGAACACATGCCACTGTCCTTTCTTGTTACAAACACAGTATTTCAAATTAGGACAAGGATTGGAAAGTTGCTTTAGCTTGGTTGTTCAGGTGCCTGCAATTCTAAGGGGCTGTATAATCAGAAACAGAGAAGAAAAAACATTCTGTGTTACTGGCAAACCTTCCTTTTGCCTCCAGCAGGAAGCGAGGTACTCTGGTGGTATATGTATTGATGGAAAACTTTTATGTTCAGAAAGCTCTGAGTTACTCAGGCATGGTAGCTTTTTCTGGTAGCTAAGCCTATAGAAGGAAATATGATTTATTACTAATTGGTCTACAAACAGGATAGGCATAAAAAAAAGATTGTGAAGTCTTCAAACACTTAACAACTCTAAAAAAGGGCACCTCTGAAGCCAAGATGTGATATAAGAAAAAGGTATTTATTCTTTTTTGGAAGTACCACATCTGCCTTTTGTGGATTTCCACTTACCAGTAATGTCCAGACATCTTGTACTTGGTGTTCATAAGAAAGCTCATCTGAGCACGTGAGATGTTGAACCTTGATTAAGTCACATGCATATGACCATCTAATTAGGTCTACTGTCTTACTTTGCTACTTCGATTCTACTAAGACTTCCTTCTTTTGTTTGGTTGTTTTTTTGTTTGTTTGTTTTTGTTTGTGTGGTTTTTTGTTTGCTTCTTGACTGCTCCACTGACACACATTAATTACCATTCATTTTCTTGACTGCTCCGCTGACACACATTAATTACCATTCATTTTTTTCTAGGAAGCTACACTTGATAGCAACAGCATTGAATTTAGCAGATGATAACCTAGAGACATCCAGAACTTTCCTAGAACATTTAATTCAGTGAAGTTTATACATTTATTGGAAGGCCTTTGAACAAAATTCTTTTTTTAATACCCTGTGCTAAGGTCATAATTTTGGGGAGAAAGAATAACAATATTGTGCACTAAAAAAACCAGCAGGTAGCTTTTCGCTTGTTGAAAGACTTAGCTCATTCTGTATTTTCAGCTCTTTAAAAGACTATTAATTGCAACCACCAATCTTGACTACTTCATAAAGTACCATGACCCCCTAGACAAGCAAATAAATAAACAAATATGTTACCGAGGAAATTATTTGAAGGAATGGCCAGTGATTTAAAGATCCAAGCATCACTGTCACGCTATCATAAAATGCTTTAAAGGAATTATGTTTCTTTTATGGATCTGGATTTGAACAGATAATGGCACACCTAATAGTTTGTAATGGCACTCCTACCTGGCAGTGTCATCTTGATTTTGAAGGTAGCAGTTGATTGTGTTGACTAAAAAGCTAAATAAACGACCATATAGAGATTTTGCCAAGAGATCCCGGTAAAATTCTGCAATCTCTATTGTGTGCCTCCGTACAATCATGTCTCCTAAGAGAGAAAGCAGAAAATGGAGATGAAAGCATGTTGTAAAGCTCACCTTAAGTAATTTTAGTTACACTAAGTCCTTCCACCCTTTTTACTTCTCTTTTGCTAACCATATACATGGTGCTAGTTTTTTTCTGAAGCCTTCAGTGAAAGATGAGAAGACTGTCAACTCTCACAAAATCTTCAATTTGGAAACATGTACATTTGTACATTTTTAAATGGAAAAGGGTACGTGTACCACGCAGAACTAGAATTTCACTGAAAAGAACTTTTTAAAATCTTCTTTTATTTTGTTTTCAGGACACTCCTGTTGACTTTAGTTCTCAGTATTATTATCTTGACACACTTTTGGGAGATTAATCAAGTTAGGAGTCCATCAGCATCAGACTGTGAAACTGCTTTGCTCCATGTTGCAAGGACATTTCTAATTCAGTGGCCCAGTCTGACTTACTGCATAGCAGATAATCCTATATATTCATCAGAGAGAAAATTTACAAGACCATACAAGAAATAAGAAACAAAAATTAACTGCTTTTAAAATTCTCAAATCAGAAGGATCAAAATGTCAGCAGGTCTGATCTATAAGAATATAAGCTTGGAAAAGATTACCTTTAAAATACTGAACATCAGTTGTTAAGGCTGAAGCAAGCTCATCTGGTGAAACCTGCAGCATCCCTGCCACTGAAATGAAAGGAAAATTTAAAGAAAGCCTGTTCTGTGCTGTACTGCATATTTTATTTTTTATAACAGGTTTTTCTTATGTAGATGCTATTTTTGAATAGTGAAAGAACCCATACATTAAAGAAAAGAGCGCTGTCACAGGAGTAATCAAAATTAATGAACATATAAAATCAGATTACTATAATCAGCACTTTGTGAATTTTGAATGCAACTGTATATTACATTACAGCTTGCTTTCCCCTTTCAAGATTACACAGGACTTTCCCGAGGGCTTGGCAGACTTTCTCTCGTCTTAGAGTTAAGGTATGCTACTTATTGACATTCTGTATCCATAAGCCACTTTGAGGAGATTTGTTAGTGACCAAGAGGGCAAACTTCAAAGCATGAAAACAAGAGACCCTTTTAAGACACAGATTTTGAATGTGAGGAATTCAATTCAATGCAAATCGTTCCACTGTTGACAAGCACCACGACAGTATTTTAAAAGACTGCACAAAGGGCACTGTAAAATTTCTTTTGGCAAATGAGAGCATTAAAGATGACATTGAATTAGATAATTAGCAATACTAGCATTTTATGTCATCCCATAGAGCTCTGTAGTTTATAAAACATACAAGTCAATTGGATACTGTCTTCCCACAGTAACATGAATTTTCAGAAGTAATTTTTTTTGTCTCCCTGGAACTGTGTTTCCATCTGTCGGTGGAACGGCGTAACTGCCCTGTGGTGGGACCAAGCAGGCAACGCTCCAAGGTCACGTCCTACTGACCTTGTTCCAGTAGCTGCAGATCTGACACAAATGCTGTCTCAGCGTCTGTCAGAGCTGTAAAGCGAATGTCTCCGAGATGCAGAATCGCTGAGAGAATTACAAACAGGTTCTCCACCTCCTGCACATATTTTATGTAGAAATAAAGATAAAGAGGAGATTTGTTGGGTGCACCAGTGAAAGGCAATGCTTTATAAAAATACAGATTCTATTAGTTTGTATCATTGGCATTTGCTAAGTTAAAAAGTGTTCATGTGTAAACTATTAACAGGAAATTTGGATTTAGAAATCAAACTGGAACCTTTCTAGGACATAAAACAAGATTACCTTTTTTTTTCTTTTGTTTTAATGTAAATCACATTAACTACTGAGAAAGTTTTTCAGAATGTGATAAAAAAACCCTGAAATATCTTTAATGGATGCATTATTTCTGCAAGAAATAAACGTATCTTCTCCATAGATAATTTCCATCAAGACAAATTCTGTATCTGGGAATAGCCAGGTTTGTTTTGCCCTCAGCCAATTGCATTCACAAACAAAGTGTCTAGCTCTAAATTATAACAGGTTCCTGGTAGTAAAGGCTGTAGTTAAGGTCTAAGAGAAACAAAAGCAATCTCCTTTACCCACACACTTTTCCCCCACAATTGCATGCTATGTTCTGACGCCTCCAAGGCTTTGAACCACTTATCTTTAGGGCTAGATTTTTCCTGGCCTCATTTTTGCCACAGCAAGAAGAGAACAACTTTTCTTGTTTGTTTTTTAAAATGTTTTTAAATTAGAGCAAAAATATGACCCATGAAATATGAACCAAAAATGCTAAGACATGGCTAACATTGTGTGGTGTTGGATGTTTTTTGAAGGTCTGTTATCTAACAATGGTGCTCCTTTAAAATTATGAAACAGGAAGCCTGATACCCACTATAGCATTACATGGTATTATGCACTGCAAAGTTAATTCATAATTCTTGAAATATTTTTGAAAAATAATATTTGGAACTTGATCCTACTGAAACAGTAGAAGTGGCAATGAGAAGTCTCCCTTACTGGAATTTGCAGAATAAGTTTAAAAAATACACTACAAATTAAATACTTAGCCAATACAACCCTTTTATTCTCAGGTGACTGTAATGAATTCAGAACAGACTGAAACGAAGCTTGGATGATTTTTCATCGGTTTTCCAAAGCAACAGGCCAAAAAAAAATCTTTTCTTCCTATTCTTGTTCCTTACTCTAATAAATATGTCTGTCCTCAGAGGACATTAAACAAAGCTACAGTCTTTCTGCAATACAGACTACAGCACCTCTGATGCTGTTTAAGCAAGTTTGATTCTCTAAACTACATTTTAAGACAAGAACTTCAATCTCTCACTGTATGAGATAGATGTAAATAGGGCAACAGTATATTTTGCTTCTACACAGTACCAAAGCTGAAGATTAAAAAAAGCAATATATACAGGCTGACTAAGTCTGAATAAGATAGCTCTTAGGATAGAAAAACTGTCATGCTAATACGGTATTCAAGCTAGGGTGCTACACCCTGCTTCTTGGAAAGGTCTCTTAGGCAAGATGGAATGACACTCCAGCACAACATACTTCTTGCTTGTTTGTTAGCTGCTTCAGAACTGGATTGGAGATGACTCTACAGCACCGAATTGCAGCAGTCTGGGATAGATGTTTATTCTGGAGATGTTGGTAGGGCCTTGGGTTTAGTTTGTGTTCCAGATTCTCAGACACCTTCTTATTGTGCTCTAAGATGCATGTTCCCTCAACTTCAAAACAATTTTTCAATAAACATTAACATACTTTGCAAGATGCCATTAAAGACTGCTAAGGAATGTTTATGTAGTTCTTCAAAAAGATAATCTACTGTATTGTTAAATGTGGCTAGATGGTCTAGGAATAATACATACAGACCTTTCCATGTACCTCAGAAGTAATAGGTAGAAAATTTAGGAGATGTGTTTTACCCACATATTCCCCTCTAACCTCCACCACAGGAGATCAGCCAGCAGTATGCTGGAGCTCCACAGATATCTGGCCTCCTAAATGATTATTCTAATGTCGCCTGGATATAGAGGAGCCTTGAAGATGCTTTATGCTTTTCTGAGGGTCATCTCGTTTCCTTTCAAGAACTCTGAGCAAAGTGAAGTTGAAGTTCTGGATCCAAAAGAATACTTTATTTTTCTATGTAAAGTGTTCTCAGACAGTTTCTGCAGGCTTCCAAAACATGATTCATTATGCATTCAACTATTTATTTATGGGCTGAACCCCTTCCTTAACAGAACAAAAACATTAAAAGAGTGGGGAGATCCATCCATCCACGAACACTGGGCTAAATGCAGAACCGCCTGGAACTTTTGCTACTGAAATCTACAGGTGCAGAGCTTAAGTCATTAAGAGTAAGGAATAATTCTGTCAAATATGGCCATATGTGTTCAATTTGGTGCATGGCCACGTGAATATTCATGAAAAAACACACTTTTTATATTAAAAGGTGGCATAGGTTACCAAAAAACATTTGTTACCACCTTAACTAAGGAATGCCAAACAACACATGATGTACCATCACCACAGAAGTCTACCTCACACCTAAATAACAGCTTCAGCAGACTCACAATTTCATATTTTTTTTTGCTGATAGCCCTTGATCCCTTATTTTAACAACTGCTGCCCATCTGTCATTTCTTATAATAATCCAGCATACTGTCACATTAACTTCTCCTCTGTTTTTTTTCCTTATGACGCTAAATTTCGTCTAGGGGTATAGAAATTTTTACCTCCTAGAACTACTGTTGCTTATGCATTTGTTTGGCAGAAGTGTCCCAGCTACAGTGTGCTAGGTAGCATACACATATGTAGGAAATATGGAGTTTGTTAAATACTCTATAGTACCCTGAAGGGAATTACACAGCTGACACAAGTTCTTATACTCAGTCCTCTATTTCTCCAGATTCCTCTCAGACCTCTGTCCTCCAGAACCTCTTCTTGATAATTTTCCAAATTATCATCTTTGTTAGCTTTATAGGATTAAAGACAAACACCAGACCTATCTTCTTGTTGCTTTTTGGGGGTTAAGTTATCTCTCTCAAGTTACCCAGCTCAAATTTTCTTTAGACTAAATATATATTTACTTTTTTTTCAGGTGCTGCTAGCAAAGGTATTTGGAATGTGTATTTCACAAAATTAAAAGGGACAGGGAGATAATCAGGAAGAGGAAAAAATTCCTGTGGGTTTTATGAGGTTTCTGTCATATGGGATTTGATTGTTTCTTTTTATCTATGTAATTTACTTGTTCAGAGTATTATACCTTGAAGCTGTTTTGTGAAGCTTTAAGAATAAAGAAGATTTACATTGTTGGTGCTGTGTCTAATTAAAAGTGATTACAGTAATTTCCCTGGAGTGAACTACTACTGTATATTGTTTCAAGGTCTTAGCCAACAGAAAAAAAAAAAGACAGAAAGGCACTTCTTTTCCCCACGAAAGCTTATCAGTGAGAGTTCCCTATGGCCTGCTTTTAACTAAGTAATAGGTGATTTTAGCCACAAATAACATAAGCTTATGTAACTTACCAGGCTATTGAATCCCATAGCACCTAGAGCTTGTTTTAGTACAGCTAATTTCTCCCTGTTTTGAGGGTTGGCTGTTAACATCGTCTCCTCCAGTACGGTCTGGCTTAGGTACCTGCATGGAGGAAAAACAGCATATATAGTATTTACAAGGCTGGTGTGCAATCAAACTTCTGAGGTTAAAAGCCAACTTTGCCCTTCTAACCAGAGGTTTATTACAGATTTTTCTTAGCCTTTGGAGAAAACAGTAACAGTGACAGAATGCTCAATATTTCTTCCCTTAAGCTTTTGCTTAAGGCTCCCCGTTGCCAACTTTAGCCCTATGTGTAAGCTAAAACTGCAGATTTAATTTATACCACTGACAGTTTTGCCATTCTTGCACTTCCAGAGATTCCCCTTCACAAGGAAAATCTGAGGAGATCCTCTGATAACTCTGACTGCTTTAAATTCCCCTCCTGCTGGCTAAGGAATAGATCAGCCTTTATCTGCCTGATCCCATGATGATCATGCGCTCCCTTAGCAGCCGAATGGGCGACAGGTATACTCGGCATCTCTTAGAACAAAGTAGTAACTAAGTACATACAGTAGTAAGTGTACAGTCCTTAAGCTGTACTGCTTTGAACACTGAATCAAAAAGAAATTTTACAAAGCTTCCCAAAAACAGTGATTAGAAGAGAGAAAGAGAGACACCTAGTGCAGCAGCTAACTCAGGAAAGAGGAAACAAAACCAACATCAAAGGCAGTAATAATCAAAAGCTATAGTACAATAGACTATTGAAAAGAACAGCAATCTAACCTTTACAACAATGTATTTTAACCCTCCATGAAATGTTAAAATATCTGTGGGCCAGATTTTTAGAAGTATTCAGGTACCTTCATACAGCTGAAATCACTAAGAATGAGGTGTCTGAATGCCTTATGGGATCTAATTTTTAATTACATCATGCTGAGAATGTAAAAAGATGTTTTCTTTTATCATTATTAAATTATCATTATCATTAAAATACACATTCATCACACAATCTACTATCTTCACAAACGTCACTTACATCAACAAAAGAATTCCCCACACCTAAATCAAAATAACAATTTACACACACTCCACCCCTCATCCCTTCACCACAATTACAACAACAAAAAATCCCCACAATTATTCTGTTCTGTAATAATGTTCCGTTCATGATCTGTCACATAAAGATGGGAAATAATACTGCTTTAATTTCTGACAATTCTTGCTCACAATCCTATTCTAATTGCACTATAGAGGTTTCAAAATAAAACTCCTGTTACCACAGAAAGTCTGGCAATGCTTTAGTAAGGGTGGTAGCTCTTTGTAAAGGTGGCCTTTTACATGAATGTGCATAGCTTTTAGAAACATGTTGAAGTATGATTGAGTGTTTGCACTTTTTTAACTGATAATGAGGCTTATGAGGTACACGCAATGAAATGGAGAGTGCATTTTTAGTGGATTGATACCAGATTTGCCAGTGTGGGTTTCCCTTGAACTGAATATGGCGTAAATTACCCCAGTGGGTGGCCAGAGGAAGATGATGGGAAAAAAAACACATGTGCCTGGGTACATAAGCACTTTTTTCACCCACAGGAGAACTCGGTCAGCAGATATCACAAGTACAAACAAGCCTCCCATCAGTGGCTAAAGCTGGCGAATTAACACAGTCTTTGAGAACATGGGTCTGCGAGCATCACTGCCAGAGCTCTGCACTGTTTCCTTGAGGTTACTAAAAATGTGAATTTTGTCCAAATCAGGTAGATACAAACGATAGCACAGCTGTCAAATTAGCTAGAGCAGATGATACAAAGTATATGCCAGATTTATACTTTTTTTTCTGGTGTTTTTTACATTGCCTGTATGTTTCAAAAGGAGGCTAGAATACATCTGATACCGAATCTGGCATAGAACCTACTGGTATAAAGGTTAATCCAGCAGAAAATTTTCCACTGTTCCAAACTGCTGTGTGAGCTTATACCAGTTCAGCGTTGTGCATCATGTGTTGGGAGCATTTTTGAGCCGTAATTAGGAGATTTACAGCGGCATCTACTCAGCTGTCAAAATGTCCTATTGTTGAATGGCTGGAGGAGTTGGAAGCTTATGGCCATTGCTGCAGAGAAGCTTCCTCACTGGTGTTCTCCCTGAGTAACTCTGCCTCTCTTTCCGTGTACTGAGCAGGGAATACTCTTTCCTGTCCTGTGAAGAGAATATTGTGTACTTTTGTAGATTGTATATTATTTAAGTGACCCCATTTGATTAGCTCTTTTTAGAGTAATTAAAGCGCTAGTGGGCATCATCATAGTAAAAAGGTGTGTGAACACTACCAACGCATGTCAAAGGAGGCTATGGCATAGCAAAGTGACCCAGAATGCTCGCTGCCCTGGAGGAAAGAGCTGAGCTGTGATATGAACCAACACGCGGCAGTTCTTGCCTTCAGCACAAGCACTTCTTGCTGATACAGCAGGGGGCAAACTGGGCACCCGCCAAACCAGATGCCTGTGGCTCCAACAACCCATCCTTAAACTGCAGCATCTGCCGGGACATGCCTGTTGGAAGAGAATCTGACTTTCCTAGTATAAATCTCCCGAAGATTTAATCAGCAGATGTGCTGCTGCCCTTGGTAAGGGCTGCAGTTGGACATTTTCTAAGGTGCATTTCAATTTACAATCAGTTTCCCCAGTCTAAAAGCAATTAAATTCTTTTATAACATGTCATGAGGCCCACTCATTTTCCAAACTATTTAAGGACTAATGAAATATGAAAATTGCTTTGAAGATATGAACATTCAACTGTTATATGTTTATAATATAAAGTATATGCATATTAAGGATGAATTAATCGTATAGACTACTTGGAACTGTTGATGGATATCATACAACTCCCCCAAAATGCAGAAAATATACAGTTTAGCACAGTGGGGGTATATTATTTACTAGCTGTGCAAGGAATCAGATTTTTCTAATTATTGTTAAGTTCATTCTACCTCAGAAATGTAGTAACATTTAGATAGAAATATAAATGGTTGGGTTTTTTTCTTGTAAAACAGTTCCCTGGCATCACCTTCTTTCCACCTTAAAGGCCCTGAAGATGAAAAGAGTTTGAGACACCCTTTGTATTAATATTATTACTATAACTTATTTATGCTTAAGAACCAGAGTCAAGAACCAATTTTAAATTGCCGCCTCTCCCACAAAAATAAGGAAAGGGGAAAGAGGTGTGTCACAGTGCAGAAGTCCTAATAATAATGAAACATTCTTACATCATTATTCCATAAAATGCAAACTTTTTTTTCAATATGTATAGCTCTCCTCATATTTATAGTGCATTTCTGTCTTTGACATTCCAGTGGCCTGGACAGAATTGCATTGCTAGTGATGAAGAAGGATTAAACTGCTTAAAATTTCCATTGTGAACCTGCCATGGAGCTCTTAGTTATTATTTTTACCTACATTTTTGTTATTGCAAACTATAGTGTTATAGCCATCATACTTATGAAAACCTATGCTGTTACTATAGTGTGTGTAACGTTCCTATAAGTTTGCAACAAAGTAATCTGTGTTCAAATGCAAACCAAACCTGGTGACTCCCAAATTCTTCATTGCTGAAAATTTTGGTAAAAGAAGTACTACTGCTACACAGGCCAGAGGTGATGTTCCACAATACCCGACACATGCAGGCTGCACACCAATTGTGGACTTACTTATCATAGTTTTATTAGCCTTACTTGCAAATTCATTCTGCAAATGCACATTCACATTAGCTTACTGTAGCTTTAGAAAAAGAATCTCAGATTTTGGCTGAAGTTGAGCCTTTTAGTTGAAGGTACCTGTTCAGACAAATGATATATATATATATATCTGGTAAAAGTGACGAGCCAAACAGTGTATGCAGTTCTAATAATTAACTCATTTCTACTGACTGTCTAACCATTTGTTTAAATGTTGACATTTGCATTGGACTCGTACTCTTGACAGACAACTTATCAGCCACAAAAAAGTTTTAAGGACATGTGATCAGTGACTGTTTATTTCAAAAAAAGAAGAAACTTACTGATCCACAAAATGGGGTTCTTTTCAGAAGATAAACTAATCAGTAATTGAAGTAGAGTACCGTCACTTTGAGTAAAACACAATGCTGCATTAGACAGACAATTTATTGAGAAATGTAAAAGAGACTATCTACATAGTTTTGTCTTTCTGATTTTTTCTTCTAGCGGTTCTAATTTGCAGAATGTAGCATTCTCATCTATTATAGTCCCTCAAAGAAAATAAAGGACTATTTTGAAGAAAAAAAGGGATGGGGGTATGTTTTCAGTATACCGCCTATCATACTATACAATTTTTTCACCATCATTTGAATGACATCATAGATCAAATATTCAGGCAGGGATGTGACTGGTGTGGCCAAGAAAATTAAAAAGTACTTACTATGACATTTAATTCTTTATGCATTAACTGCCCATATAAGTCAACAATTCCCTTACCTGTTTACCTTATTCTCGGTGTCATTGTTACATATCATCATAATTTGTATTATTCAACATATATCTGCAGTAAAGTTAATAATTTCATACATACATCTCAAATATGAAGAAGAAATACATAGGAACAAATGTCAGCTTACCGATACTGAGCTTTTGTGACAAATGCATACTTCAAAATTTCTTACATAACTCTACCGATTAAAAACTTTCTTTAAAGTAATATTCTCTGCTTAGATGATTATGCAAATAACAAGGAGCTGAGACTAAAAAGAAAAGTTTTGACTCTCAGCTTGCTGCTCTGCCAAAAACTCAGCATAGCAATATTTGATTTGGATTGAATTTAAGTTCATTTATTTCCTTTTGAACTGCAACCCAATAACATTTAGTATGAAATGAAGTAATCTGCTTTATTCAACATAAACAAAACATGTCATTTCATTTCCTTACAATAAAAGCAAAGGAAATAAAAAGTAGGACTCTCAAAATTATTACAGAATGTAAAAGTGTCTTTTCATTATGTCTCTCCTATTAGAACTGTTACGTTTTTATGAAATCTATGAAGAGATAAAAATAAAAAAGTGTCAAATTTGATAATAAGGGAATATATTTGGAAAGAGGGAAC